CGTGTCGCTGCAGAGGAGGGGAGGCCGTGGCCCGTGCTCAGCACAGCGCTCACACCGCGCGAGCCTGGGGCCGTTTCCTCAGAAACGGGGCTCTGTGAAAGGCAGCAAAACCCGCTTTGGAGGTCGCAAAAAATAATTTCTCATTGTTTTGTGCAAACCCCTCAGAAGTCTTTCCCTCATGTTAGAAAGATCAGGTGTCACTTGCAGGTGAAGACTGGTGCTGCAAATTGATAAGGTTCAATTTTTAATCCATTTTTTCAACTTTCTGTTCAATTTCAAGACCAGAGAATAGCATATCTTTCCACACAAAAGGATACAATATTTCATAATTCTAAAATGTGAATGTTTGCAAAATCTCACTACTTCTGTGCCATAACATTGCTTTAGTTTTTAAGCAAAAGATTGTAGTAAATTAAGAAGCAATGTAAAAGAAATAATGATAACGTCATTTGAGTTTGCACACAAAATATGTTTGCGGTGTTTCTTTTTATAAAGATATATAGAAAGCAATTCTACATAGATGCTACATGAAGGAATAACGAAATATGGTTTTGGTGGGCTGTTTGTGTGTGCTGGGAAAGCAAATGCTCATGATCTCCGTGTCTGTTTCTAGAAAAGCAGTAGCTGTCAGCAGTGATGCCTGTGGGTGCTGGCGGAGGCCCCTGCCTTGCACTGGGGGCATTAGGAGCCTTGGTGGAAGCAGATCATTGTGGGGCCTAGAAGAATTCCAGAATTTTCAGAAAAAGTCTAGTTCTGTCCTATTAAAGAACATCAGAAAAGAGACAAGTCAGTAAATATGCGTAGTGCATATAGTATGTCCAGGACAAAACCTCTGGAGTGTCTCGGAGGCAACGGATTTGTCTCCTCCAAGGCGGCTCCCAGGAAATGCCAGAGAAAAGGGCGGCCTTGCAAGCAGGAGCCACAAATGCCTAGAGGTGACTGTCCCGAACACGGGGCTCAGCGTGAACAAATGAGCGGTCCTGGATAAGCGAGAGCAATTGTCAACAGTGTGGAAACTTGTGTGGTGCGGGTATTTTGGATGCGATATGATCTCTGTACTGTCAGCTGTATCCATCCAGCATCCTTGCCCTCACGTACAAACGGGTTGTGTTCCAGCATTGCAGGCTGCTCCGTTCTGCTGGCCCTACGCAAAACTGCCGTTGCCATCTCACAGCCGGCGTGGATTGACCTCGCTGCCGGTTGTGCGGAGTGTGCAGCACAGGCAGAGCTGCGCAGGGTGACGCCACAGTCCCGGGTTCCTGTAGCTGGCGGGAGCAGCAGTAACATGAGTAACTCCTCATGCAATGAGGACTCGGAGCTGTGGTGTGACTGAAGGCAACCCAGGATGGGTACAGATAAAAAGTCCTTGGACAGGAAGAGGAAGAAGATGGCAGCTGAGGTGGGAAGAGCAGCTCCTGAGGTACAGCGTGGTGTGCCCAGATCCAGGCATCGGGACCAAGTTAAAAAAGGTGACAGGAATGAAGGTTCTGGGGCTGCTTTGATTTTAAGAGCTGAGTCTCCTTGGGCCTCTGAAATACACTGTCAGATTACAGTGGTGTCTGTCTCACGGGGGTTAGATCTTACAAAATATACTGCATCGCTGCTTAGTTTTGCACAAGTTGTCTGTGGTAGGACAGAATTCTTGCTCCCTATCCCAAATTGTAATTTTGGCAAAGGCACGTGCTGGCTGCGAGCTGAGTCGACGCTGCTGTTTAGCAAAAGCCACGGTGCTCAGGGAGAGCCGCATGGTGCCAGGAGTCGGCGTAGCTGCCCGCTGTGCTCTACTGCAGGAGCCGTACCGAGGTGCTCACAGGAAAAGCAGCACCACTGACAGAGCCCTACGAGGGAGTTTGGAGGGAAAAACCAAACCCGAGGAGGGAGTAGCATGGCAGCACCGTGAGGGAATTTGAGCCAGGAACCGAGGCTGGTAGTGCTGGCTCGTGGTGCCACGAGTGGAGCTGTATCGTAGCTCAAGCAGGTCGCAAGCGTGACAGCTTCAGCTTCGGGGTGGCTCTGAGAGGCCTCTGTTTCTCACAGCACTATCTTGCAGCAACATCTGCTCCAAGGCCACCCTTTGCAGAGCTGGCCTTGAGCATGGGCAGCTTAACCCCCCCCAAGAGCCCTTTCTTGTTGTGTTTTGTGTGTGTTTGTTTTCTTTCTGCTGTTCCTTACATCAGGGCTCTGTTAGACACAAAAGAGTGTGTCAGACTTGCACTAGTTGCCTTTTGCACAATCTGCTTTCTCACAATTATGAAAGATCCCAGGAGCAAGAAGCGGGTACAAAGCTGCAACACAGGTCAAACCAAGGCAGTGTCTGAGAGAAATCCTCCAAAATGCCTGTTTTACCCTTCCTTTCTTCGTTGCCCAGCAGACTTTCAGAAATAGCCCACCAGTGCGGACAGGGGTTCAAACGCAAACCCATTAATCGTGCCGCGGTGCTCACCCTGGAGCCCTCACTGCTCCAAAATGATGCTCTCCATGTTGATGTGTGGCCTCAGTGCCCAAAATAAATCTGCCCGTAACTAATTATAGCCACAACGGCCCCCTCTCTGCCTGCAGTCACCACAGCAGTGCATGACTGACACTCACTTGGCTCTGCAGGCAAAGACAGCCCGTCCTTTTCCTCCATATAGGTAGGGCACAGGATCCTATGCCTCAAGAGAAGTGCTAGGATGTGGAAGGGAAGATTTTTGTCAGGACTCTGAAGATGCCTGACAGCAGGATGCTGCCTAGGCAGAACCAAGAACAGATACAGACATGTCTATTCCCAGGTATGTGTGTGGAGTTAGTTATTACTGAGCCATTAGTGACATGCCTGAGCTAGAGGTTGCAAGTGGAATGAATCAATAATGTGCATCAGTAAGATGTAAGCTGCAAATAAAGATAGAGAGATGAAAAGCCAAGAGCTGCATTTCTTCCATCTTTGCGCGCTGGATGCGTGTTCCAGGGCTCAGCAGTCCCCACTATAGCATTTCAGGGGTGTTACATTACAGCAAAGGTTATGCAGTATCCAGGTTAAAAGTCATTTCAGTTTAACTTTTGGAAGCCTGACCAGTTTTGGTCAAACGCCTAAGAATCCCAAGCCCAGAATAGAATGAGATGTGTAGACAGGGTGATGTCCACAGCTGGCCATAGAAAGGAAGACCTGGGCCTAAAGATTCCCTC